CTTTTGTGATATTTTCTTAGCGTATTTGTTTTAGGACTTGGGTGAGGATACTGTTCATGATCCCCTGTGATGTCAACTGCAATGGCTCAGATATCATAGACCAGGAAAACTAGTAACAACACAAAAAGCAATAATAAGTGTGTGCTCTTAGAAGAAATGCAGGGTTTCCCAGTATTCACTCTGGTTGTTCTGCTTTTGTATCCTTTGAAAAACATGAAGTATTACAAAAAATCTGAACAAGTTAAGTAAATTCTCAACATCTTCAAAACAAAACTATTCTGCAAACATATTATCAAGGCTTCCAGGACATTTTCTCATCAGTTCCAAAATATATGTGCAAGTAGCCAAGATTTGCAAGGGAGATTTTTTTTTCAATCTAAACAACAGCAACAACAACAAAGTTTAATTTGAATTTAGAGAAGAAAAACATAAATTGCTTAGATTTGGCAGTTAACCTAGGTCAAAGTAGACAATACTTTAAAAATCTTCTGAAAATGCTTGTTTCAGGGGACAAATGGCAGCTGCCTTTGAGCAGGTTCTAATAAGGGGGTTTGTGCTCCAGCTGCCTTTGTACCATGAGAACACCGGACCATCAAATACTATTAAGGAAGACAGGCTTTTTAAACAAAATACATGCATTGAAAGACTTACTTGGTATGACCTGTTCTAGTTCTGACAAGCTGTTTTCTTACTGACAGCATCTCTAATGTGGCCTGAAAGATGTGTGCTTTTCTTGCAGTTCAGTCATGATCTTTGTAATGGAAAATCAGCAAAATCTGAAGTAGTTTAGCTAGGTGAAGCCAGCAAAAGGATACTTTTGTATGTATACTGTGAATTATTCCAGAGTAAGATAACAATACTATAATCCAACATCTCCCCTATGTTTTTGAGATGCTTTATTCATGTTGAAGTGCTTTGTTTTAAGCATTCAGCTTGACCTATCTTGTTTACCTGTCTTAAAAATTTTAATCTGTGAGCACCTTCCTTTCTTTTGATGGGTATCTGAGTTGTTCTGGGCAGTAAGGACTTGACTGCATGTAGTGTGTAGGTTAAGAACAAGAGCATGAGATGGCACTGGTCCTAGGCACATCCCATGTTGTCAGCCTGTATTCAGTTGTACTCTGAGCTCCCATGTTCAGCAGCTGCCCCACTTCTGCAGATGGGTGCTAGCTAAAGATGCCCATGGAGGAGACAGCTGGTGTCCCCCAGTGCAGAATGCACCAGCAGTGAGATGGGAAGAACATGAGCTGAAATTTCTCCTCTCTCAAGTCTTAAATTTAGCAAATTGCAACACTCCCAGGTCACTGCTTCTAGGCACTATATTAATATGATCATTACCAGCTTCCTGCACTACTTAGTTGAAACCACATATTTAAACTTCAAAACACTTATGTCCAGAAGTAAGGCCAATTTGATGCACCTCTGCCTATTCCCCCATCACATACCCCAGGGGTTATGTTTTTATGTTTGACAGTATTACACTGCAGAATCTGAATTATTGTTTCCCCATGTGCTCCTTATAATGGAGTTAGAACTTAACTGCTTCATTGCTCATGTTATAATTATCAGGAACTTTTCTTTCTGTGATAAAGGACTTTGAGAAACAGACAATGAGTCAGCCTGAGCTTCATATTTCTCATAACCAGGTCAATATTTGTTATGTGGTAATAATACAGCTATTTGACTATTTTTTCTGGCTATTTATCTGATTGACTAAGAGTATGAAATGCTGTGAAATGTTTCAGAAGGAAAACAAAGTTTTCCAGATAAACTTTCACAGTGTTTTGTTGGAGGGGAAACTTCCAAACACTTTGGCTATGTTTTCTATGTAAACTTACTGAAACTCATGCAGTAAGCTGAGTTCTCAGCTGGGTTGTGTTGTTATAGAGAAGCATCGCTCACAAAAAGCATTATTAACTAACCTGAGCGAGAAGTGGCATCCACAATTTCTATAAGCCCTGAGTTGCACTGCTCTTCCCTATTTGTAAGGTAAGACAGACTGCTGGAACAGTGTGAAAATTGAATTTATTTAGTGCTTACAGAGTGCTCATATGTTAGAGAGCTGACCACCACAGGAAACCCCATGAAGAAATGATTTTCTGTCCCTCCAAAATAACTCACTGTAAATAAAGCCTGAAACCAAACAGTGAGCAGCGAATGACAACCAAAATATTTACTCATTAATTAAGCTTCTCCATCCTAATCCAAAACAAGCCAAGGAGTCCATGGGAAAAGTTTTCTGGGTAGCCTGTGTAATTTATAAATGTATGGAAGGCTGAACTAGTGTGGTGCAGTCAAACTTATTTCTGCTGTTCCATGAGCATTGAACAATTTTACTTTGCATCATTACTGGAATCATAGAAATCTCAAGTTGGAAGGGACCCATAAAATTCATTAAATCTAACTCCCTGCTCCTCACAGAACTCCCTAAAATTAAACCGTATGACCAAGAGCACTGTCCAGGTATTCCTTGAGCTCTGACAGGTTTGGTGTCCTGACCACTTCCCTGGAGATCCTATTGCAATGACGAACCACCCTCTCAGGGAAGAACCTTTTCCTGCTCTCCACTCTGAACTTCAGTAATGCTGTATTAATATTAATCACTAAACTGGATGGTATGTTAATGAAGCCAGAAACTTGTTCAAGTCAATCTTATTGCATCCACTAAACTTTTCCAAGCAACAACAGCAAAAACAGCCAATGATATTTTATCTGTCATTTCTTTAATAGGAAATTATAAAATCACTGCCTGCCAACTGTCAGGGCTGCAAAGGCACCAGTGTGCAAAATGAAGGAGTGCTCTTCTTCAAGATGAGAATTCTTTCTGTTATCTCGTTGTTTGACATCTCTGAAGGGATATGGCCTTGAGGAGAGGAGGCAGTCTCTTGAGTCTGTCTAGTCAGTCACCACCAGATGGCTTATGTAATTAGAAACTCCTCTTGGAAGAACATGGGCTGGGATTTGATGAAAGACATTTCATAGTTTGCCCCAATTAGCAAGGGAAGTTGAATAACCCAGAACCATGAGTATTTCCAGAGGAAATAGCTGTGAAATTCTTCATTCAGTTATGCAGTTCCTCAGTTTGTGTTCACTTGATCTCTTGCATAAAACTGAGAACCTCACAGATTGCTGAGAGGAAAAGGGAGTGAAGTGGATACTTTACCCGTGAAGCACTTGTTTTTCTGTTTTGTGTTAAATGGAGGAGAAAATCTAATGCATTGTATGAGGATGGCAGCACCATACTACTGAAGCTAGATAATTCATTTGCTAAGTAGTACCAGCTTTTGTATTTCTGGAAATAGAAGCCTACTGAGGATTGCATGGAAACAAATCCAAAAAGAAACTGAATGGGGAGTCCACTACTCTGACATTTTAGTAGTGCTGCAGTAGTATCATTCCATTAGGGGTTGACTTTTTCCTTACATTATTTTTGCTTCTCATGAAACCAGTGAAACACTGTTTGAGTCAAGTAAGAATGCGGTCTATCATTTTCTAGAAGTGTGTGCCCTGATTTAGACCATGATTTTGGAGCTAAAAGAGGCTTGTCTTTCAGATTATCACAGAAAGCAGTTCAAAGGTCAAGAATCTGAATGCTATCCGATGCCTAATTAGAATAATAAAAATGTCTGTAAATCACTAATGTTGTGCTTGAGTCAGAATGTGGAAGGCAGAGAGGCATTTCCTGGGGATGCTTATAACCCATGTTTCTAGTTCAGGAAGCTACTTCCACATGTGCTTGTTCCAACTGAGAGTGTTATCCCTGGAACTTGTAAATGCGTATTTAAAGCAGAACTCATATTTTAAGTAGTTTGGGTAATGTACAAAAGGAAACAGAGCCTGGGCTTTGCAAATTGCTGTAAATACTGAAAATAGGTCAAATAAATCATAGGTCTTGTTGCTAAGAGATTCTCAGCTACATGTCTAGAATAAAGTTAATTTATAGATTCAGATATCTGAAATTTCAGTGTTTGTATTGTAGCTGCAGACCAGTATTGTAGTTCCAGTGATGATGTAGTCAACAGTAGGGCCTAGAAAGGTATCCAACACAGTCTAAATTAAACACCTGCATTTGGTCTGCTGAACAGTTTTCTACATCCTTTGGCTACAATGGTAGCAGTGACATGTAGATCACGTAGCAGTCACTTGCTATGTAGGCACCTAAAAATGTATATCAGATTCTGGAGTTGAATCCCACTCCTAAAGTTTAGTGAGAGGAACTTGCCCACAGTGGCAGACCATTAAACTGGTCCCCGATAATCTGGAGGTGAGAATATGCTGTCCTGGAGCCAGGCACTTATTTTATGGGGCAATTAAATATTGTCCATTCAGCAGAAGTAGTTCTGTTGTAGCTGAGTCACCAGTCAAGCAGGATAGGGCTGCTCTAACCACTGGCATTTGAATTTTTGACAGTATTCATAGTCAGTGTTTAGCATGAGGACAGGATCATCCCTCTACTTTATCTATGCCACCATTGTCTCACTAAAGAAGGTTGGCATCCTTACCAACATGATTCATCTTGTGGACCAGAGCAAGAGATCAGGGCAGTGAATGTCACCAGGACATTAACTTTCTCTCCTGCATCTGTGTGTGGCATGGCTTGGTCACTGTCCCCCGACACAGTTCTCTTTTTATGGTACAGGTATCTGGGAAAACTACCTTGTGAAACCTGCATTCTGGATTATTTGAAAGCTGTCTTTTAATCAACAGAGTGAAGAACTAAAGATCTGAGTCATCCAAGTATTTGGGCTGATCCCCTGACTCTACTGTGTTTAGTCCTACAGTATTTTCTCATGATCTCATGATCTGTCCCTCAGAGCAAGGTTCTGATGGTTGTCTTCTTCCCAGTGCTGGTCTGACTGAGGTGGAGTAAGGAAGTGCTACACAGTGCTATAGCAGGAAATGTTTAGTTTTCTACAATACTTCATCACAATGGTATTTCTTAGTAATCGTCTTTTTCTCCCCAAATCTATCATCTCATGTTCTTTTTTATTTTCTTACAGGAGGAGCTGGGCATTGCCTGTGAGTTGTTGGAATCAGATTTTCTCAAATGCAGTGTGGGATTTCCTTTCATGAGATCAAATTCTAGGGTAATGTTGTGATATTTGCAATTTGCAGAGTAATAGTTCGTTCACTTCTGTCTCCAAGGAGTGGCTGGAAATAAACTGCTCTATTAACTGTCTGTGACTGATAGTTTCTCTAGCTTTCTAACCCAGATATCCAAGCCTTTCACAGTTACAGATGGTAGCTGTCCTCTTTCCCAACATACAGAGCCAATGACAGTGCCCTGTGTAGTGCAATAAAATACCTTTGAAAAATAATGCAAGAGTTTCAGCTGCGAAAAACTTGCATATTTCCTCTGTAGAAAATTAGAAAAGGACTCTCTGTCTTATTTATGTTATTTACGTTGCCTGACTGTTTTTATTTTTGTCTTCTTTCACATTAAAGTGCAACTGAATTTATACAAATTACAATGAAAATGTACTAATGGCTTTTTCATGTTATGGTCTTCTGGTAGATTTTTTTAAAGAGGATTTTGTTTGGTAATAAAAGATGCACTCTCTCACAATGTTTAAAAATCCAGCTGGTTTCTTTCTGTCACTAAACTGAGCTGGATAAATGACCAACTCAGAAAGGTGAGAAAATAGGGAATAGCTTTAGGATGACTCAAACAAAAAGTGTCTGAAATTTTTCAGAAAGTTTCAATTCCATGAGCTAATCCTTTCCATTTTAATTGGTATATCCTTTGACCCAACACAAAACTTTTGGTTTCCTTGTCTTATTGACTGTTTCATGCTCTTTTGAAACATCTAAAAATATTTTAAACAGAATAGAAAAAAATAAATGCAATAGCAAAATATTACCTAGAATGTAAGACTGTAAGCTGTTGAAATTAGTATGCATTTGGATACTGTTTCACTTGGCCAAAACCCATTTTGGAGTTAGGCAGAAAAGTTGTTACATGGAGAAGTTATTTATCAAAGTAAGTTCTCATTTCAGAATTAGCACATGATTTCACCCATTATGATGGGTGTCCTGAATGCTGGTTTAGCTTGTGCCACTTGCTCCAAATCTCTGCAGGCCTGTGGTGTGAGTTTTATTCCCCTAAAAGATGTTTTCAACAGCAAACATATAGATTGGTGCTGAGATAGTTTCAGGTAGCGATACCATTGTATGAGAAAACTCTTTCCCTGGCAAATGATCTCCTCAAGAAATATCTTTGAATGGGAATTCTAGTAAAGGCCTTTTCTCAATGAAAGGAAAAACCAAACTCTAGTATTTGATGAGAGGCAAAATAGGATTTAAAAGTTAATCTGCAGTAGAGGAAACTTTCTTACATGTATCAAAATATGCTACTTTTGTACAACTGGGCCAGTAAAAATATATGTTAAGTTTCAGAATAAATACATTTTGAAACAATATTCAGTATTTCTAACTACCACTTTTTCTTTGCACAGTATGAGTTCAGTGTGATCTTTGACACAAGCCACTTGTCTGGGCAGGAAGAAATGCTTACCTTCCTTGTCAGTGCCCAAAGGTAAGGGGACCTTTTATATGTCTGGATGACTTGGATATTCTTTATTGCATGAAGTGTGTATTATATATGCTTGACAGTTATGTGATATTAGTTGTAGGAATGTATATATATAGTAAATTAGGTTAAATTACTCAGGCTAAATGCATATATTTGTGTAACGCGGAGGAAACATGTGTTGAAGCTTCCTGAAAAATAAGATAGGATCACACATAGGTTTTCTTTGCCAAGCAGTTGCATATCTGAAGAAGCAATCTATATTCTCTCATTTGAAAGCCTCTTGTGTTTCAGTGGCTATCTCTTTGGGCCCTGCATCAGTTGATGATCAGCACCACACAGAACCATTTGTTCTAACATTTGAATGAAATAAGCATGCTTGGATGCAAACCAAAAAAGATAAATGCTTTAATCAGATGGTCAGGAATCTCACTGACAGGTTCCAAAGTTGCTTGTCTATTTTTCCCTCTCTGGATCTTTGGTGAGCTATGACAGATTGTGGAAAATGACTGAATAGGGTACTTCCCCAGGGCACTTGAAGCAGGTATTGAAGTAGGATGACACCAAGTTTGCATCATAGACATTTTATCTCAGGCAGAATAAAAGGTGTCACATGGGCTCTGTGCCTCCTAAGATGATGTACCACAAAGAAGAAGACTCCATGGGTGATTCAGTCACAAGCACTGTCAAGGTCTGTGTGGGAACCAATGCATAGCTGAATTAACATGGGCCATGAACTTCTGTTTGATGTGCTGCATGTATGACTTGTACCTGCTTCCACTTACTGTGTGAGTGAGCCAACTTCATACTCTTCCATGTCAAAATCAAGATCTCCAGCCTGAATTCTCCTCCTGAACTGGGTGACACCTCTCCAAACGGTTGGAGATGAGAGATGAGATGTAGCAGCTGCTGAGTGACTCTCATGAGGCATAGTCCTCCCCTACAGTAACAGCTGTAGGTGGGAACAGATCCTGCAGCATGTAGGACTGGTATGAAATACTGAAAGTAAGACCTTGCATCACCATGTCTTGCACATTAGGGAAGTTTTATTCTCCCTGAGGAGAAGTGCATCCTGTGTTTAGATGACCCTGTGATGCATCTCAGTCAGACAGATACATCAGTATGTGCTAGGTGAATTCCAGCTGGTGCAAAGATGGGTTAGCAGTGCTTTAAATTTGCCCAGCCATTGTTTTCCAGCTATTTGCCCTGCCTTTGATAGCACAGGACTTTTCTATGTAACCTCACTCCTCATATTTTTGTGCTGTGCCAGTGAGAAATGTTAGTCAGTGCCTTTAGATGGAGCAAAGAAATAAACAGTAATTTTTATACATGCTCAGAGGTGTTAAGAGAAAGTTTCTTATTCCAGAATGTTGAGCAGGGTGACAGTTATATTTGGAAGGATTCAGCTGAACCTCCAAAGACAGCAATGCAGACCTCAGTGCTGATTACCCTCATTTTCTCTGTGACTTTGTGCAAGTATCTCAATTCCCTTGCTGTCCAGTAAGTGTAACAAAATCTTTCTACCACAAGAGTTGCAGGAAGCCCCGAGGTAAAATCAGTGATAAAGAAATGGAGAGGAAATGCCTGTGCTGTGGCCAGACTGCAGTGAGTGAGGATATTGTTTCCACATAAAACTGGAGCTAGTCTGACAGAAGTGGCTGGACACAAAGAAGCCATGTCACTCTGTTGTGGGAAAGCAAGTATTGCAAGTATTGCCATCCAAGTGGCCATTTAAGCCTGTGCCTTGAAGCTGCAAATTTGGCAGTAGCATCTGTAATAAGAGACTGGTTCAGTAGTGGGACAGATCAACTGGAGAAGGAACTTAACATTACATGACATTGCTTTTACACTATTTGTTAAAAAAAACCCAAACAATACAAAACAACAACAAAACAAAACCTCAAATCCTCTTTGCTTCCAGGTGAGAACTGTTTTTCTAGAGCTGGATTGACTGAGTTGTATTCTTCTTTTCTAACATTACCTTTACTCCATTAGAAACAGATAAAAACATATCCATGAACCCTATATAGAATTCTGCTTGTCTATTCTGTTTGCCACCATGGTATATTAGTATTTGTATTGGATGAGAAATGTCTCCATTTCGGACTCTTCTGTAAGCCTATTCAGAGGAAGAGCTTTTATTAATTGATTTTTTTTTCCAGGACTGAAAGTTTATGGGTTTTGCTGTCTGGGCTATAATTTTCTTAGCAGACTTGGCCTGTGTGTCAGTTGCAGAAAGCTGATCTGTATCTATGCATGTATATGTAGCCAGGAGGCTCTGTTTTTGTAATCTGAGCAATTCATAATCATGGTATCAGTTGGGATGTTACTGCCCTCAGTGATACTGTTCTCAAATAAATATGATCCTATCTTTTGTTTTACCAGTTTGATTCGTGAGTAAATCCAATGAACTGCAAGGCAAAAGTGATTCCAGAGTCATAGCTAAAGAAATGGGAAATATATGTAACATATCTTTTCAGATTGTTATTCTGAGCTGTCACCCACCAAGCAGACTCACCATCAGAATTAGAATAGTTGCAGGTTTGCATGTTAGACATGCATTTCAGGAACCTTTCCCAGATGTCATATGTAAATGGTCACAGTGAAACAAAGTGACTAATGAGAGATAATTGCTCACTTTTCTTGCTCTTCTTTCTGCTTTTGACCAGCTGAGGCAACAGCCTTTGAAAATGTAAAGTAGACGTGCTTTCATTTTGGCAGCTAAGTCCAGTAAGAGGGGGATGGAACTGCTGAGACGTTATGGCTGCTTCAGTACAAGGATCTCACCCAAAAAGCTGCTAGCAGTGGCACCAAATTCATTCTGTAGTACAGTGCAGATGCACTGAAAGCATTATTTCATTTACTGAGTCAAGACCCTCTCTGGGGGACCCTCACAAACTGACATGTAGTCAGACTGGGAGAAAATGAACACTTGCATTGAAGTGTAAATGTCCTTGTTTCTCTCTGCTGTATGATGGCTGCTGTAGCTTCCCCCAGGCATTTGAATTCATATCTTCTTCCAGTGTACTTTTTTTTGTTGTGAGCCTGATGTGTCACAACCACAGAAGAGAAGCCACAAAACACATGCTTTATGTGTGTGCTCTCTCCAAGATTGGGTGAACAAATGTAACTCTTAAGGCTTCTTAAGGAACTGACATCATTCAGATACAGAGGCTCAGAGTACAAGGCAGAGAGGTGGTAGCTGTGAAACTGTGTGATATATTGCAAAAGCTGTCGATTTGCAGAATGTTTATTTTTCCTTTCTGGCATAGTGGAAACCTAGAACGCACTGAATCTCTGCATGATAATATTTTAACCCTGTCGATACCTCTGATGCATGAAGTGGCCTCGTCCATCAATGGGTAAGTGTCAGTCACCAAAACAAAACCACTGCCACCACTAATAATAACAACAACAACAACAACAATTATAATAACAACTACAACAACAATAATATCTGGGTGTCTTTCAGTGGAAAAATGAATTCTTCTCTTTGTTTACATGTAGCCAGCCTGTTGTTTTTCCTCGTTTCTCAGATTCTGGACATACAGAAAACATCATTCAATATCTGGAAATTTTATTCATTCCAACTGTACCTCTTTCGCACTCACTTCTAATTAAAGCTAATTAGTTACCATCACATTTATAGTAGGTATTTTAGTGTCATGTTTGAATTCAAGTGATTCTGTATATCTGATGGACCTTAAAATAAAATAAAGAAAGAAAAAGGAAAACACATCTTGTTCCTTAGGGTATGTCTAGAAGGAAATGGTTAAGAGTCACCAAGACAAAGGTTAGGGTCAAATGGTCTGGGATTTCAAGGACCTTGGTGAAGGCTGTTTGCCTTTCTGTTTAATATCACAAACAAATTTGCTTTTGCTTCTGTTCATTTTCCCACTCCCTGTACTCCCTAGTCTGCAAGGCTATGAACTGGGGAGCATCACTCACCCTTTGATTGAAATACATGTACAAAACATAGCTGTTGTGTCCTCTCCCCAAGACTGCACATGTACAAGTTCCTGCCTTTGTAGTTCCCTTCCACTTGGCATCTAGCATAAACAGTACTTGAGTTGGCACTGGGGGACCTGGTCACTGAAGGTGAATTAGCATTCATGTAGACCGAGAAAGCTGATATTAATTCCTAGATAAACTGGGGAAGCAAAACCTCATCAGCAATGTCCCCAGGAGGTCAGGGTCTGTTTTAGCCACCATCTATGAGACCCCCACAGGCTGTAGGTATTGTCTAAATATACCAGTGCTGGTTGGCATCAGTAGAAATCAAATATTTCCTTGACCACTATGCTACATGTATAGGAAAAAAGCTAACTTTCACTGACACGGAATCTGACTGAAAAGGTGGGTAAACTCAGATTCATGGCCTAGACTGGGTTTTGTCACATAAAGTTGATTTCCATCTTGTTCCATGGAAATAAAATGCTTTTCAAAATCAATGAAAGGTATGCTTGAGCCTGCTCAGAGAAATGGGAAGCACTGTCAAACCTCACAAGATGGCAAAGGACAAAAAGCAAGAACAAAAATCTCCTCTGTACTGAGAGTACAGTCTCAGCAGCATCTTCTGAAATTTTTGAATGTTTTCATTGTTACAGATTCTTCAGAAATTTAACTCTGTATCCCTTGCTTCTTGATGCTTTGATATAGATGGATTTTTGTTCAGATTTACAGATATGAATGCTTTCATTTGTATTGTTAGATCTCTTTTTGTTACCTACAGAATACTTCATGCCAAAAAATAATATAAATTGGGCTCTTTTCTTTCTCTTCAGAATGTACTTTTTTAAAGCTCAAGGTCTCTGAATTTATAAGCCCCACCCAAATTACTATGTGGATTATTTTTTTGTTTCTCATAGACAAGGTTTAGTTAATTCAAGTTCACAGAAAAGTCCAATTGCCAGAGAGAAGTTGAGTTTATTGGAGGGCACTACATTCCCAGGCATGGTAATATTAGCAATACTCCTTCTTTGGACATGTCTTTTTGAAGCTTATTCATCCTCTATGAAATAAGGGGAACAAACCTCATTCCTGGTCATAAATAGCCCAGAAGGGCTTGTTCCGTGTTTGGGAAAAGCCTTCTAGCACAACACTGTAAATGGGAGGAGTAAATCTATCTCTCACTGTTTCCCCTAGCAACCTCTGGCATAGGAGGCAGACAGGAAAAAAGGAAATGTACCTAAACAGGCTTAAAATCCTGTCTCCAAAAAGCTCTGACTCCAAAGGACAACCTGAGAAGGAAGCAGAGTTTTAGTCAGTGATGAGGACCAAGGTTTGTTTGAAATTACACCAGGACCATTTCCAGACAGTGGAACAGCCTGAGATTAGAAGGATGCACAAAGGATGCTTAAAGCACTCCTAGTCCTCTTCTGCGGGATTTCCAGGTACTGTGTTGTGCTTCCAAGTAATTTCTGATAAAATCCTACTGCATTTTACTGTGTGATCAGATGATAAGAGTGGTTAAGGTAACTTGGCCTGTTCCACTGTAGTTGAAAGCAGGTTATACCCGCTCTATTCTATCCTTTAACCATCTTCTAATCGTAAAGGTAGTAAAACTTAGATAATTAATTGTTTATTCCTGCATGCTATGAAAATGTACTTTAGTGAATATGTAACTGAAAGTTACATAATTCCTATTAGTTACTGTTTCTTCGGATTGACTTCACAGTGCTATGATTTCCTGTGTTACACAAGCTGTGGGACTTGCACAAATCATCCATGGCAGGGGGCCCTGGAGAAGAGGTTTTGTGATAGGAAAGGAGAAAAAGAGATAAGTAATGAAGCATGGTTCAGTGATAGGATGTTAACCCAGGTCAGTTGAGATGCTGCTCGTGTAGTCTAGTGTTGCCAAGAAGAAATCAAATCAGGAACAATAGATTAATATAAAATAGTCCCATAGAATTTTACGTTACTATAAAACAAGGGTGCAATTCAGCTGGACACAAATATATTTAATTTTGGTAGCAAACTCAGCTTACTGTATCTGTGTCTTGATTTTACAGAGAAGTCTTCCCTACTTCATTTTTCTACGGTGATTCTGTGGAAGCGTCCAACTTTGTTCGGTTGGAAAACCATGAATGCCTTTTTCAGTCTCTCAACTTCACACTGCAGGTAAAACTCCTCCTTATTTTGTCTGCTTTCCTGCTTGACAGCACATTCTGGTTTTATGTCTTTTTTATTCTGGGTGTGGTATGGATTTTTGATCGTGACTTTGAATCACAATCATGGGCAGAATGAAAGCTCTGGACAATGTTTATCAGGAAGATCCACCTATTGAGTCATGAGATTCTGAAAGAACTCCCTTACTTTCTAAACTCCTTCTCACAGAAGAGTCTAGGTACAGCTGGATCCAGTCCCAGTCCCAGACTTGGTCAACAGTTTATGTGTAAAGGTTATATAGGTGTAATTCAGCCTTTATATGACATTGTTCCACAGGATTAAGGATGAAAAAACAGATACATTTACATGAAAACCATAAGTTATTTATTTAAACTGATGATAATGATTAGACTAAAATACTTTAGTCAGAATTATTTACCACGTAATATAGTTTTACTAATACTATTGTGCACTATTTATTAAATTAATAATTTCTAAGCTATCTTAATAATTATTAAGTAGAGTTTGATGATACTCGCCCATACCAAGAACACAGGCAAATCTCTTGTGCTCAGCCTCAAGGAGTAACTTTGAGGGACATCCCCACTCAAGGGAGGAATCTCTACACTCTCTCCCTGAGGGGGTATGTTAGAAGTCCCTGCTGTTGAAAAGCAGAACTGGGTTTTTATAGTATAAAGTGATTGACTGTTGGTCATATATTTGTAGGCTAGCTGTGTCAGCTATGCAGCCTTTAGCTGAGCAGCTTTAGACAAGTTATCAGTCCTATCACTTGTTGGTTCCTTTATCAGAAACTTTGTCTGCCACATCCTCACTGGTGCCAGTTTCTGTCAGGAAACACTGAATGTTTACCTTTGGGACTGATAAGTCAGGCTGGTCTCAGCATTCTTCATCACCAAAAGCAACATGATCCACCTTCTCCATCCACCACTGGTAACTTTTGCAAATAGGCTAAAGCTCGAGCCGTTTTACCCCCACCAAGACAGAACATCCTGCTAAAATGCTGTACAATGCATTCTTGATTGGATTCCGTATTTACAGTGTGCAGGGATGGCATTTGTCCTTTATCTGAATATATTATAACAAGAATTGCAAACAGTGCATCTCACTTCCATAAGAATGAAGCCACTACTGTTTGTTTCTCTATTACCTTTCATTACATGCTGAGTAAAGAGCTCTAGTTACTCAAGTGACACATCTTGGATGAAGTCACAGGTTAAAAGTGGAGAAGTAATTCTTTTTAGTGGCATGGTCTTTGAGCAGAGGAGTGAGCAGCCTTTATCCATGAGAACAAACACATGCCTATGCAAGGGATGTGTTGGGACTTGCTAAATGTCCAAGTATGAAAATGTTTGTAGCACTACTGACAAGAGTACAGTACAGGCAAGAGATGATGACACTAAAGAGACAGATGTGAGAAGTTTTAATTAAATATTGCATAGCATCTCAGCATTAGTCAATTATTATCTATATATTACACTGCCAGTTAGATGAGTTCCTCATATGGCAAAATATATGGGTGATTTATTATCACAAACTCGTGCAATGTGTCCAAAATTAACTTGCACTGTGTTTTGCTGATGTGACTGTATCTATTACAAGCCCTTCAAACTCTTTTTGACCACTAGATGGAACTAGAAAGTGATAAGTCATGCAGAGGTAGGCTCATTTATTGAGAAAAATAGTGTTTCACCTTTTTTCTCTCTTTCTGTTCTCCTAGGCATGAATGCCACTCAACTCATAATGAATAACACATGTCTGCCTCCATGGACAGATTGCGGTCCAGAGCAATTAAGCCCCCACTGTCATGCAGTGCCCTTAGCTATTTACTGAGAAGGAGTGAAAGCAGGATTTTAGGACACTAAAGCTTTTGTGAACCAGGCTATTAATTCTTGTGATTCTGGTTTCATTCTTGAGAATTTATATGTTTACCCCATCTTTCTCCTCTATAGCCAGTTATTCATTAAAACCAGATAAAAAACAGGGCCATTGATTTTTTAATTAGATTAATATTTTCGATAAAACAAAGTGATAAAGGGTAAGGGAGAGAGAATCCATGAGATTTTCTCTCATGGCAGAGCCACTATTTGTCCTACCCATCCTCTTGTCTTTCATGCACACACTTAGAAGTTTTTTTCCATATAGAAGTAGAAAATTATACTGGAACAAGTCACAGATGTGCTCTCCCGTATCGTGCTAAGCCTCATAACTATGTGTGCCAGTGAGATAGGTTAGACTTTCATAATGGGCAAATCATTGTTTATATCTCTCTTTGCTTAATTATCTTAAATGATTTGCCTGGCATTTATTTAACTTCTCCAGATGGAGAAGAGTAATAGTATCTTAACCAAGAAAAAGAGATGATTTACAAATATAGGGGGCTTTATAGCAGTTTTTATAAGTGAAAAGCTATACCGGGTCCAATGTTCATGGAAAAAGATCCATATATGGTTTTTTTTAGTAACAAGACATGCAGTGAGAATGCCTTTTCTGCAGTACTCTTGCATCTGATCTCAGAGACATAATAAAGGTTTTTAAAATGTCTCACATGAAACATTATGTTTATATTTCATGTACCATTTATCATGCTCCACTGTAGTGGGATTTCTCACCCTGCCTGGAGCCTCAGTGCTTTTGTGACAATTTGGCATTGCAAACCGATTCTCTTTATCAGTCAGACATTTTTTCAAATATAAACAGTGTTTGAGGAATGAAAACCTATTGTTTTTAATATTTGTACTTTACACAGTTAACAACTGATTGCTGCATCTTTTGACAGTAGTGGATAAATATTCTAACCGGGCTTAATGTTTTTACTGTATGCATTTTTATTTGTGGGTTTTTATTATAAGCATTTATATTTGTTTTGTTAGAAAGAACCAGGAAATATTTTTCCTAATAAAAAAAAAGTAGTTACAAATGAAAACTTATTTTCATTGAAATTTTTCCATGAATTACTTCTTTTCAGCAAAAAATCATAAAGTTTGGGACTTTCACTAGATACATTTCAGTGGTTTACAGGAAATTCTTTGAGTTTTTGTTAAAATTTTGGGGGAAGGGGATTGATAGAAAGCTAATATTTTTCACCAGGAGTTTAATTTAATTGCAAACTCCAGAACTTGAATGGAAATTGTTCACATGCATTTCCTGGCAACTCACTCAGAAAACCTGCAGTCCAGAAGTCACAATAATTGTTTGGCTTCTGCTTCATAAGGAAAATTTATGCAGAATATAATGCAGTGGTTACCAGATGGAAATGAGAATGTTAACTGAGACGGTAATATTTCTTACGGCCTTCCAGATTATATTACCAACACACTCAGGGTACTAGCAGTGTCTCTGTATATAAGATAGAAATCTTATGCTGTTTGTATTGATGACTGGTAATTATCCTGCAAAACTGCTTCTTATTTCATATATGAACTGTACCTAAAGAATGTTAAGTAAGCTAATCCCTTAACTTCTTCCTGACACATACAAAAGAAGTCTTCATCTGAAGACATTGAAAAACCTTCAAAGTACGTGAGTTTCTTCAAATTTACCTATACTTCCAGCTGTGATTCTACAGTCATTTCCCGATTAATGAGAAGTCATATATGTAATTTTATTTGTATTCATTTGTTCTCTTACAGGTTTACAATGCTGGACCAAGCACTCTCCCTGGAGCTTTTCTTGACATTTCATTTCCAAACCGCCTCTCTGCCACTGGAGATGAAATATTTCATATTCAGCAGATGATGGTGAGTATGTTATAATGTATTCTGAGACCAGAGAGGCACTGGGAGCTATTGATGACTGAAACAACAGAAATCCACCTCTTGGTGGATGAATCAGTTGCTTTTTAAGATAATGAAAGGTTATTTGTATTTGTGGCAACATCATAAGTAGCTGAGCCCCTCCAGCTGTTGACTGCTCTCCCTCACCTAGGGCAAAGGACTAATTCTGTGTTCCTGGTTTCCTACAATGCTATATAAAACTAGGTCAGGCTAACACTGAAGAAAATATGAGGAACACTTCCACAAGTCACATCTCCAAAGAGGCTTGAGTCTTAATTAGTCCTTCCTGACTGAGGTAAATGGTGTATGCAATATCAGTAGGATATGTTACCAAACTGACTCATGTTTCCTGATTTTTCTCTGTGGCTTTTTGCAAGAATACTAGCTACGTCTGAATACCTTATCAATATCTATTTTTCTGTAGTCCATGTTATAATTTGCTCTTTTTGGGTGGTCTTTTAGCAAATATAAGTAATAGAGAAAGTTACTCTTTCAACACAGTGTTTTTCAAAAGACAAATTTGTGTCAACTACAAAAAAATTCAACATAAACTGTGGTAAAGAAGACACATTCTTAGATTTAATTTCTAATATTTATTTATTAATTTCAACGCCTTTGTTAGACCACTAAAATGCCATCATTTATACTGTGGTGGCCAAGAGAGGGAAAACTTACTGCTGAGGTAAATTTAGTACTGAAGTTGAGAGTAATCAGCCTTAGTGGCAATTGAAAAGAAGTATTATACTTTCTTGTTGTTAACTACTTTTCTAGCCTTTTGGCTGAAAAGTATTACCATTCCTGATATGTAGGTAACAGTGACACTGAATATGTGTAAACGTAGATCCAAAAGATCTTTCTAAGCAGCTTTCCAAGATTTTTGCTCTTGGGATGTATGAATATAAATATAGATATGTCTTACAGATGGGCACTAAAGACAGAATAACGGAGAAACAAATTGGAATATTGTGTGCAGTACTAGTGTATAGACTGAGTCAATTCTCCAGCTAGACTCAATTAATTCTCCAGCTTATGCCTCCTTTTCAATGGCATTGCCTTTTAATGTTTTATTTAGTCCAGCCTTATATGCAGAAGATCACCTTTCCTTTGACGTACTGCCTGTAAAAAGATCCTGACCCATTTCCTTGGCCCTTTTCTGGTCTCTGTGTGCTGTGGGAGGGGGTGCATTCACAGCAGCAGCAGAGAGGTGGGAGTCTTCATAACAGATTTTGTCTCCCTAAATGTTGGCATCTCCTCTAAAGTCAGTCATTCTGCACATTCCTATATAGCCAATAGAAAGGAATAGAAAACAGCCCATCTTACTTAGGGTGTGATAAATTCCTTCTTGGCATTACTTGTTTCTCTGTTTTGACTCTTCCAAAAGTCTGAGCAAATTGTCTTAGTCCAGACACTTGTTTTGTACCTTTCAATTAGAGGAGTTGTACACTACCCACCAACGGGGCAAGGACTAGTTTCCAGACATAGATGTCATTATTTCTGCACAAGTTATCTGAAAAGGATGGGATGGACTATATGGTTTTGGATAGCTATTAGAAAACAAGGGAAAACCCTTAAATCTTGTGCTTAACTTGTTTTTCATTGCCATTGTACATCTGATGGCTTACCAAAAGGAGGTCCAGCTGGGTGGTGTGGTCTTGAGCACTGTGCATGTATGTTTGCAAATGCTTGCAGTGCTTATATTGCTTTTCCCAACAACAGGTTGCATTTCCCTGCACATTGTTGGACTGAATTGTACATTGTAGAATGTCTTTGTAGAGTTTTAAACAGCTGTTGTGAGACCTCTCTGCATTGCAGGCTGAAGAGTGGTAGTAGGCAAGTATGTTTTTATGAGAGCTGTTAGCCTGCTACACTAGCATTCACTGGGTCATTTTGATAACTGATTTTGGGTATATGGTCAGTAGAAGTCTACTTCATGACTTTCTGAACATCTCTTATATGTTAATAAATATTAGCCAAGCAAATCCTGCCTGGGGTAGTGGTTATCTCTGCTTTACAGATACATAATTGAAACAGCAAATGGTTTGCCTGAGGTCACACAGGAAATTTGTATCAGAGCCGGGCACTGAACTTATATATCCTAAGTCTTACTATTGTAACAGAGAAAGCATCCCACTCTTTTTCCTACTGCCTCTCTCCCACTGAGTTTTTATTGACTGAAAAGGGAGCTAAAATCATGGAGCTTTTCAACATCTCATAGACCAAATATAATTAAACAAACAAACCCTAAAAGCAGATGAACTTTGGAAAATGGTTAGCTGTTTTTCAGGAGAATTTTTGTAAGCATGGTCATTAAATATTTCAAGCTTTTCTGTATTTTCAACTTCCCAGAATCTAGGTTGCAGTAAAGGTAATAAGGTAATAAAATCCTTTCAGACAGTTCAAGTGTTTCTGTAATTATGCCTTTATGCCTACAATTCAGGCATTCTAGCTGTCAGTGTTGACAGAACTTTCAGAATAGCTCTCATTAATACAGAGGATTAAGAATTGTCATTTATCTGTAACTGACACTGTTGATACAGCATTTGTGATTTGATTACATAATGTTTTTTGTTTTAAAGCTAAAAATTATATTGCTGTTTCTCTGATATACAATAAGACACTGAAATTTATGGGTGAAAATGCATAGTAAACCCACTAGAGTTTGTGTCCCAAATACACATATATCACACAAAATAGTTCCAGGAACCTATTCCTTCATATTGGGTTGAGTGATCTAGTCTTTCAGGCACAAAAAAATTCTAAGAGGAAGAGAGTCACATATGGCCCACTGGAATGGACTGTATCTCTGGGAGGTGTTATTAGGAATTATTATCTTGCTGGCCTTAGAGGAAATGACAGCCCTCATGCTTCCTCTGTTCTGGATTTTTAGCTTTATTGCAGAAACTGTTTTAAAATTTTCTTCCAGATAAATTTAGGTCACAGATTCAGGAATTTGGAGTTCTGCCTTAGAGATATTCAAATGTGGTTCAGGGGATATTGGGAGTTTCTGCATCACTTCTCCCAACAAAGCTCCAATATATAAAGGGAATGAGTCGATAGTAAAAGCCAGAAGTAAGCAAGAAGATGGATAACTGAAAGAAAACTGGAAGAAAAAAACACAAATGAAGTTCCTCCCTATTAGAAATCTTTAATGAAAAGGAAATTATAGAAATATTCAAGTAATTTTAACTAAAGAATTTCACCATTAACATTGGGTTTATATAGTAAGTACTCCAATTCTGCAGTGGTAAATTATATTTTGGAAGCAGATAAGACAAATTGATAGTAGTTTGCTTTTATGTATGTTTGTATTTGCTTTCTTACAGAGGTGTCAAACCAGCTTAAAAACATAAATTAAATAACTCTGTTTGTTAGTAAAAGTCTTGTAATAGAATAGTATAGGTGATGACACAGAAGAGCTTCACCCCAGCCGAGAAGTTAGTCTTAACACAAATGTATGTTTTCCACTCTTCAAGCCATTGACTATCTATTCTTCCACAAAGGAAAACAGATCAGTGGTTTCCTTTGCTATTCAGCTCATTTGGATGGCTAGGGGAGCACTACTTGACTTGCCGAGGAGCTGCTTTCTGGGGCCTCCAAGAAGATTTTCACAATGGGAGTTCCTACCAAAATAACCAGGGTACTTCCTGAAGCTGTTCATAAATTAGCAATGTGTCCAGGATTACTCTGGTGCTGGCTTTATGGATCTGGATCAGACTGTTGCCTTCCTATTTTTTTTTTTATTTGCAGTGAAGGTAAATAAATTATGAAGAACAAGGGATTAACGGTTGGAAACCAAGTTTGTCTGTTTGAATTGGATGATCATCTTCCCTCCCCTGGAGGGACAAAGCAGAGCCTTTTTAGGTGAATCAATACCAAGCATATAAAAATGGTGTTATCATCCTCACTGAGATAAGAATCTGGTCAGAAAGTAAGATGTGTATGTTGCAAGTCTCTTCAAAAGAGTTTGCAATATAGGCAGTGAAATAAAAGGAAATTTGGAAGAAAGAGAAAGAGGGAAATAAATACTGTTCTCAATTTTTTGATGAAAAGCTCCCTCCCTGCATGTAACTCTTGGTATCTCAGTCTAGTAATTACTGTTTTAGTAACAGCTGCCAATAGAATATATTTAAATTACTATGTTCTCTTACTATAGCAATTAATGTAGAGAGAGAGGCATAGAAGCAGCTCTGGAGAAACACTTGCCAGTCTCCACAGATAGTACAGAAACCATCTAGTCTCCCAGAGTCTCCCTAGGCATCTAAGCTTAGACCTTGAGAATTATCTCCAGAGAGCAAAAGAATGGGTTAAACCCCAATCTTGTGAATCCTACTGCCATTAACCTTGAGCATTAGCCAGTTAGCCTAGGACCCTAGTTCTTAGTCCAACCTTCCTATTGCTTTTCAGTTAGGGAGCAAAATAAAGATCCTTCTCTTGGAAGGACAAACAGAAGTCCTCCAGTTATCCTATTATGCTTGGCATATTCATACTTCTTTCTATGTGGATGAGACCTGGATTGTGCCTTTGTGAAAGCTGGGTATCAGTAAGATTTTAAAAAACCAAAAAAAAGCTGGAGGAAGTGAAGAGAATACCTTTTACAGGTTGCCTTTTAAGTTAATGGCTGCCTGAGCATGGGACTGTAGAAATGCTTGTCATGTTCAATAAGGAAAACTGTGGAAATAAACTTCCTTCTCTTCCTATGAATGTTGAAACATTAAAAAAAAAGTAAAATGGAAGTCAGTCCCAGAGCCACAAGTCTTTCCTGGCTGATGACAAGTTACATTTCTAAGGCCAGTTTTATATACCACTCATGTAATTTTTCTTCCTGGCAGTAGCACAGTAATGTCTGTAAGGAGCAGGAAGAACTTAGGAGATGAGTTAAAGCTTGCTGCCTCATTCCATGAAAGGTCCCACCCAGGCTGCTTGAGGTTTTTCTTCACGTATATAATGAAAAAGAAATCTTTGCA